TCATAGAAACTGCTAAACTAAACAACGCCAACAAACTTCAAAAGTGTGAGTAGCAAGCAGACCTCTACTGCCAAAATTCACCTTTATTCCATCAGGAAGACAATCCATCCATTAATTCTTCACCATGGCGATTGCCAACATATGCAAGGGCCTTACAACCTGCTCCGTGCCAATGCAAGATGATAGCAGAGAAGCATTACGATCACTAAAGCGCATAACGAACTAGGAAGAAATGTCATCCAAGGAGGAAGTTATTTAGCAACTCGTTCGAAACTCCACCTCTCACGCGAAGCAGACGAAATCGTAGATCAACGAACAGCTGGAGGAGAGGAAAAGCACAAATCTGTGAGTCGGTGGCTCTCAAGAGAAAAAAATATATAATAATAAGAAATCTATATTCAATGTCACCTCTGGGAGATATTATTGTGTGCGAAATCCATGTCACTGGATGCACTGCTCCGAAGTGCATCTGCTGATGTGGCAGGCTGTAATTAGAATTCAAATGTATTTGAATTCCGCATACAATAATTTCTCCACCTCTGAGCTGGGTAGTTCGGGCTGCAGCGATTTCATTGGAGTTACGCGCTAAGTCCGGACACCCCACCGAATAATTTCTACCACAAAAGAGCATAGCCAGAGAAGAATAATACAGGAATACATTTATTTAATTTAACTAATTATATAAAAATTTAATAAGAATATAATATAATTAATAAATAAATAATAATTCAAATTAATTAATAATCAAAAACAGCTTTCAGGATTTAGCTCGATTTAAAAAATCCTGAATTAAACAGCCACTTAACCGAGTTAGAGAGATTTATTTTGGGGTGCAGCATCATTGCATAACTCTTGTATTGCTGCAGAGAACAGGAAATTCTATTTCAGAAAAGGTGGGCAAAGAAAGTGAAAGATGGGGGCTCAGATTCGTCTTGTTTCCATCCTCAAGCAGATCTACCCACCTGTTCTATAACAGCGACGCGCAGACGCAGCGATTTCCCATAGATTAGCGGGCCATCCAAGCTGCTCCGGCACCACTGCAAGAGAAGCATTGTGATATCTGAAGCACATTGGAAACATTCCTAACCAGGGTAAGATCACTTTTCATGTTCGTTTTCATCATCATCGCCCAATTCGAAAGAGAGAGAGAAAGAGAGAGAGCGTGCATGATCAAGACTTTAGGCATAAGAAATCATCAGCATTGGAGAAGGCAGACGAAAAAGACATCCTACCGCTCCGCTCAAATTTAGGCTTCGTTTGGGACAACTTCCTGATGAAGTTCTAAAAAAGTAATAGAGCTTCGGCCTGCGTCATCTTATGATACCAGAATATAGGTTCCTGCACAGCTCACCTTGATCTGTGATGTATGTTCTTATGGGCCTCTTTTGTTTGCTTTAGAGTATGTTCAATAGAAAAGTGTGTAAATTAAAAGAGCTCATCTAAACCCTAAACCCTATTCGCCTTTGTTCAATCATTTCGTAGATCAGCCCGCTAGTTCTCTTCCAGTGACGCGTGGATGTAGCGGTTACCCGTGCATGTATGGGCCATCCAAACAACTCCATCGACAATGGATAAGAATTGAGGATATTCCTGATGCACAATAGAAAGGAATCCTGTTCTACTCTATGTGGGCAAGATCATTTAATAAATCCGTTTATTCTTCTTCACGGCATAAGCAGACGCAGCGGTTTCCTGCAGATGCAAGGGCCCTCCAAGCTGCTCCATGCCGATGAAAGAGAGAACCATTCAGAACTCTAAGGTTTAGTTTGGGGCGGCTTTCTTATTGAGTGATATGCATGTAAATCTCCTTTAAAATGGTCACATTTAATATTAATCCTGCTTAAATCATGCGAAATGCTGCTACCGAACAACCCCTATATCCATTAAATCCGATCTTCCTCTGAATTTAAGAAACCTGCAATTCAAGTAAAAACCCAACAAAAGCTGCTTGGCAGGATTTGATTTAAATATAGCTTAAATCCTGCTCAAAACCTACCACTAAATAGCCTCTTAAATCATGCCTTAAAGCTGCAACCAAATAGCCCCTTAAACTAACAAGTTGGAGATATGATTTCTTTTGGGTTAAGCATCACTACAACACTCACGTATTCATGCAGAGCATTGGAAAACCTGTTTCAGAGAAGATCAGCAAAGAAATAAGGAGTTGGGGGCTCAGATTTGCTTTGGTTCCATCCTTAAGCAGATCTACCAACCTTTTCTCTTACGGAGACGCATAGACACAGCGGTTTCCCTTAGATGAGCGGGCCATCCAAGCTGCTCCTGCACCATCGCAATATCTAAAGCATCATTGGAATAATTCTTAACCCGGGGTAAGATCACTTTTCGTGTTTGATTTCATCGTCATCGCCCTCGTAGAGATAAGTCCGGAGACCGCACAGAATAATTTCTCCAAAAAAGAGAGATCGCGCGCGCATCTTAGAAATCATCGGCTTTAGAGAAGCAAGAGGAAGAGACCATCCACTCCAGCCGCCTCACACTTAAACTAATGAGTTAGGGTTTTTTATGGTAGTGTGCTATCTATTTATAGACACAGCTGGAGCACTCCTCAAGGACAACAGTTTGTGGCTTATCAGTCGGATCTTATCCGACGGCTAAGAAAATCAAAAGAAAGCCAGTCGGACTTTTTTTATTTTTGCTGGGTAGAAAAAGTTCAAGAAACAAAAATAGAAACCAAAATTACAAAAATATACTTAAAATCAATGCTTTAAAAATCGGATCGGACCGGCCGGTCCGACCGGTTCAACCGTGAACCGGTCCAAAGGCCGGTTCGGTTTAACCTAAAAACCGGCTTATCTTCAAACCGGCCGGTTTTGTCCAAAACCGCCGGTTCAACCGGTGAATCGGTCAACCGGTCACGGTTCTCTTGAACCGGTCGGTTCAAGTTTGTATTTTTTAATATTTGAATTTAAAAT